GTAAAATTGTCACTGCAATTGCTTCTACCATTTAGTAAAGACATATTTGTGTTAATTAAAAAATCTATTAAAATTTCACCATAATGATTCACCGTAAAATCTATAACTTTTCTCTGTAAAACATTATCTACCCCAACAATGAAGTCACCTAAATCGCCACATCGACTATTTAGGTCTACACAGACATAGATTGTACCTTCTTTTTGGTACTGATATATACATGCTAGTAAATGATCATAAAAGGCATAAACATAAAAAAAACGAGAACAATTTTCAGGAGGCAGATAACAGACACAAGGTAATAAACAATACTTGTCTTTTTATGTATTAATTTCAGCCAAAAAATTCCTTCAAATGAATTGTCTAAAATATTTACATCAAAATAATTTAAAACATTTTCCTTAATGAAAAAACCAACTCCTCCCGAACCATTTCTAGCATTTCTATGTCAATTCTTTCGATTAAAACCGAACCATTTATACCCTTCTAGATTAATCACTTCGTTATCCTGTAAATGTGATTCTGCAATTGCTAATATATCAAAATTTTGTTCTAAAATACAAGTTGAACGTACAACAAAATTATCAGACACTGGATTAAAATTAAAGCCACGAACATTCCAAAAACCTGCTGATAACTAATTATAATTGTTCTGTCTCTGTCCACTATGATTGTCACGCTTTTCATTACGACCATAGCCACGACCTTGTCCACGACCACGTCTGTTGGGGTTGTAAACGCACCATATCCAGATCTTTGCCACTCATCATTGTTATAATTATCCTCTTGAGAGGGATTGTTTCTTTTATTAGAATTTCTCATGTGAGAGTCATTATTCCCACCTATGTGTGGGTTACCTCCCCTGAGAAGAGAATCGCGAGTGTCAGAATGCCATGTTTCACGAGAGTTATGATAATTACCACGACGCGAGTTATTTCCCCTGAAAAAAGAACCGCGAGTGTCAGAGTTATCACTAGTATTGGCTATAGCCACTTCACTGAAACTACGACAAGGAACATTCTGATGACCAAGCCTTCCTGGAGAATCACTTTTGCTATCTTCTGCTCGTTCGTTCATCCTCACCACTCGAGAACCTCTTACTGCTAGACCATGTTGACGGAGAGCTCCAAGCACCGTTCGAAAGTTATCTGACATACACCTTTCTGAATAAGACAAATCATGATTGATAAATACGTTGCTGTACTGTTTGTTATTGTTTAGTCTGTTTTTCTGCAACATAACATTTTTTTTGTCTTCGAATGATTTGAACTTCGCTATCACCACCCCCGGACGTTTCGGGTTCCTAGATTTCTTTCGCTCTGCTTTATCAACCTCTATGTTAATCAATTTTAGACCGTCATTAATTAACTTGTTTACTTTATGTACTGTTACTTCATTTGCTTGTTCCGGCAAGTCAGTGATTATCACATTCAGAGCAATGTCGGAACTATGTGCAGAGGATGTATTATTTTGTTATCAACTTAGATTTAAAAGGTATCATTATGCTACTTTATTACTCAATTTATTCAACACAACCTGGCGTAATACATATATCTCTATAAGAAGACAATGTTTTATGTTACACTGACAATATGTGACATACAAAATTCACAAAGCATTCATACAGATTGTTGTATTATTTCATGTCTCGAAGTAATGTTGTCAATATAAAATTAAAATTATTTATAAAAAGAAGATAAATTGAAGGAAAATTGCCATTCTTTGTACACCACTTTTTTGTTGGTGCGTGTCTTTTCTTCAATGTGTTATATAATCTTTCAATGACTTTTTGCCAGCTTGGTACCTTTAATTTTTTGTATTCTTGCAAACTGCGGAACCACTTTTTGTACTACTAAGGTTTACTGTAAAGCACATTCCGTTTGTTTACGATGTTAAATTGTATTGCTACGGTGTTCCGTTTGTTATAATTTCGTCCTTACCCCCGATGTACGATGGCAAGATGGAGAAAACGCAATGGTACGATGATGAAAACACGAAGTTATGATGATGAAAACACGATAGTACAATGTTGAAATTGCGATGTCGCAATGGTACGATGGTGAAAAGTGGTGTTATATCGAGATTTCATCTTCGTACAATGGCGGCTACACCATTGTACGATCGCGTTTCCACGATCGTACCATCGCATCATCGTGTTTTCAACATCGTACAATCGAGATGTCATCATCATGGCATCGTCTTCCGGTGGTCATGCGCAATGGTATGTAGATGAATACTCATTATTAAACCCCGCACTCTGCTTGCGTATCTATGAGATCTATCTAACTATGAAGTTGATGTCTCAAATATTCTTTGAGTAATAGCACGATGGTGAAAAGGCGATAGTACCATGGTAAAAAGGCGATGACATGATGGTGAAAACGCGATGGCAAGATTGTAAAAAACGCGATTGAACGGTGGTGAAAAGGCGTTGGTACGATGGTGAAATTGCGATGAAACAATGGAGAAAAGGCGGTGATACAATGGTGAAAACTCGATGGTACAATGGTGAAAATACGATAGCGTGATGTTGTAATGGTGAAAACGCAATTGTACGATGTGTACCATTGTGCACCGCGGGTAAGGACGAAATTGCGTGCACGATTGTCCACACGGAACAACGTATATTCCATATTGCAATGTGAAGAACAAAAGCAGAATATTGAAAGAAATATAAACGGATAAAGCTGTTACAATACATAACACCGTAGAGGATTTATCATAGACACCTAGAATGTAAGTAAACTTGTGTTTTACTTTTAATTTTCTTTGTAGTTTTCTCTCCTACCGCAATTTATATCCTGTATGATAGAACTACTTTTTCAGATTTTTAAATACAATATCAAATTTGATATTTATACATGTAGTTCCAAAGAAATACATGGAACATGATGACTTTGTTTATATTACATTTTAACTAAGTAGACAATAAAGCAAGTTTACCTAGTGATAAAACATGAAAATCTGTGGACACAATATATTTTGTTTACATTATTATTTTTATATGATTTTTGAGAGGTTATATATGCCTATATAAACGGTTGTTTGGAAATATAACTACAATAATTTATTAATTGGTTAAAGCATGTATCTTAATCTTGGTAAAACATTTAAAGATGAAATTAAGCTTGATCCGTTTCATTTTAATTGTAGATGACTGTAGTAAGAAAGTCTACAAGATAGATAAAGCCACGTCTTTAATATTAAATATCGTTATTGTTACTGTATATATTTTTACTTGATGTTTGGGAGTTTATGAGTGTTTACTTGGATGCAACACATATAATAAAATATATAAACCATCCTTCGGGTCTTGTTTAGTTTGTGTGCTAGTAAGCCATCCAAATAGAAAATATAAATGTTACATTGGCGACGAGGATCGGATATTAAACAAAACTGTGGATTAATTTAAACTGACTCTGTGATAAAAAGCATGCAGATTTGAAAATGGATAATTTTCCTGCTTTTCCGAAATTCGATGGTTTTGCTGATGAAAATTCTCTGGGAGTACGATGGGAAAAGTATTTAAAGAAATTAGAAAACTTATTTGTTGGACTGGGTATAAACACTAGAAAACGAAAAAAGCACTGTTACTTCATTATGCAGGAGATGATGTTTAAGATATCTATGATACATTGAATTTAAAAGAAGACAATGAAAACTTATGAAGAAACGAAAATTGGATTAACATCATACTTTAAGCCAAGAAAAAACACACAATTTGAAATATTCGAATTTCGTAATATGAAGCAGTTGCATGGGGAATATATCGACCAGTTTACAACAAGATTACGTCAGAAAGCTAAGAATTGTGAATTTTCGGACATTGACTCAGAAATTAAAAGCCAGATCATACAGGTTGTTGTTTCACAAAAAATGAGAATGCAGTGTTTACAAGATCCGGATAAATCACTTAATGACTTACTTACAAAAATGAGAACTATGGAAATATCAAAAACTCAAGCAGCAAATATGTCAAAAGATACAGTAGTCAGCAGGTAGTGCGGGTAAAAAGCAATCCTCGATTTAGCCGTCAATCAAAGGGATTCGCACCTAAACGATTTCAGCAACGTTCATATCAAACTATCCCGTAGCAAGTTTGTCGTCGGGAAGGCGAAATAACCCTCCAGAACGAAATAACAAATGCCGAAATTGTGGAGGAAAGTATCCCCATCTGTCACGTTGCCCTGCTATCGGAGCAGAATGTAATTACTGTCATAAAAAGAATCATTTCATATCGGTCTGCAGAAAACGTCAAAACAAGGTGAAGTTAATCGATGATGAACAGTCGGATTCACAAGTTTTATCAGAGGCAAGCACGCCGAGTATCAGTTCAAATGAGTGCGATGTGTTATTTGGATTTAAGATATCAGATGGAAAAAAAGTGCCAAAGAAATGCATTACATTAAATTGTGTAGATGTTTATGTGTTGATAGATAGCGGTTCATCGTTAAATATTATCAGCGAAATCGACCTCAAGAAAATGAATATTCGTCAAGAAATCAAGAAAACGAAAACAAAAGCATTCGCATTTGGGCAGACATCTCCACTTCCATTCATAGGCATATATTTCTTGCTTGTGGAGTCAAAATTTATTACAAAAGATTTCCATATTGTTAAAGGCAACAAAGAATCATTGATCAGTTATGAATTATCAGTAGAGCGCGGGATTTTACGTCAAATACAATCATTTCACAAATCAGTCCAAAGCAAAGACGCATATTCAGGACTTATTAATGAAATATTCACAAGTTTTCACAGGCTTAGGATGTCTGAAAGACAGAAAAGTTAAGTTTTATATTGATGAGAGTGTTGTACCTATAGCTCAACCGCCTAGGAGAGTTCCAATTCATGTACGTGCGCAAGTCGAACATCAACTTAAAAGTTTAGAGGAAATGGATGTTATTGAAAAGGTTATAGGTTTACCGACACCGTAGGTTTCGAACTTAGTAGCGGCTCCGAAACCTAATGCTCCACACGAAGTGAGAGTGTGCGTGGATATGAGGAAAGCTAACACCGCAATCAAAACAGAGAAAAATGTTTGCCCGACGGTGGATGATATTATCTTGACGTTAAACGGCGCAACGGTATTTTCACTTCTAGATCTGTACAAAGCTTTCCATCAAATTGAATTGGATGAAGCATCACGTGTAATGACAACGTTTCAGACACATATTGGACTGTTTAGGTATAAACGTCTAAATTTCGGGGTGTCCGCAGCACCGATAATTTTCCAAAACGAGCTTCGTCAAGCACTTCAATGTCTAAAAGGCATATTGAATATTGCCGACGACATCGTATGTTTTGGTAAGACACATGAGGAACACGACGTTTTGCTTTACTGCAACGTCTTCAAGATAGAAACCTCACACTGAACAGCAAAATATGTTCATTCGGACAATCTAAAATCAAGTTCTACGGATACGTATTTTCCGAATCCGGAATTTTCACCCGATCCTGACAAAGTAGATGCAGTGAAAAGTATGGACAGACCAAAATCAATATCAAAAATCCGTTCATTTCTTGGTCTCACGAACTATTTGTCTAAGTTCATAGATGGCCATTCAAGTTTAACAGAACCATTAAGACGACTTACACATAAAGATGTAAAATTTGAATGGACTGCCGACCAAGAAAAACGTTCACATCATTAAAAGATAATTTAATATGTGATAAGGTCATGACATATTTCGATCCTAGAAAGGAAACTCTGAGTCGACGGAAGTCCAGTTGGATGCTCAGGAATACTTATTCAAAACGGCAAAATAGTATCATATGGAAGCACAGCATACAATTCAGTTCAGACGCGATGTTCTCAAACTGAAAGAGAAGCTTTGAGTGCTGTCATCATGATTCAGCATTTTCATTTGTATTTATTCGGCAAAAAATTCAAACTGATAACAGATCATGCTGCACTTCAATCAATCTTCAACAATATCAAGACAATACAGTCACCAAGATTAGAACGTTGGCGTTTGAAGTTGACAACGTATGATTTTCAGACACTTTATAGACCAGGTAAATGATGATATCAGATTATCTTTTCAGGCATCCACATGCAAGACACGAAACAAATACAGTAGCCGAGCAGTATATCAGCTTTATTACTGATAACGCTTTGCCAGACGTATTTAAGCTGTCAGATGTAGCAAAAGCTACCGAAACAGACTGTATATTAAGCTGTGTAAGAAATGCGTTAGAACAAAATGACTGGAAAACTCAAAAATGCAAATTAGACGAAAGTTTTCGGTTATACGAGAATTTGAATAAAAATCAAGAACTTGCAGTTGCATATACGGAAGACGGATTTGTGCTTTTACGGGGTACAAAACTTTGCATACCAGAATGTCTGCAAAAACAAACAGTTACGCTTTCGCATGAAGGTCACCAAGGCCAAACAAAATGCAAAGGATTATGACGTAAATATTGCTGGTTTACACATATGGATAGAATGGTTGAAGAAATGTGTAGATCATGCATTATATGCCAAGCTGCATCTACAAGAACTAGAACTGCCACTATCATGGCGTGAATATCCCCGCATACCACTTTGTCAGAATCAACAGTGGCCATTTAGAGCTCAAGGACAACCTCCCTGCCAAATCTGAGGTTACTAAGCCAGTGCATTGCTAAGTTATGTATTCTACATGCTTCAAATGTGAAAATGTCAAAATCAATATATTGCGGACAGGACATTCTTTAGCAATTGAGAAGAAAAGCTTTTTTTTGTCAAGGTCCCTGTGACCTTGACCTTTGACACAGTGACCTCAAAATCAATAGGGGTCACCTTATAGTCATGATCAACATCCATGCCAAATATGAAGACTGTGGGTCAAAGGAAGCTTAAGTTAATGGGTGGACAAACTTTTTGAAGTCAAAGTCCCTATGACCTTGACCTTTGATCCAGTGACCTCAAAATCAAAAGGGGTCATCTACTATAATCATGATCAACATCCATGCCAAATATGAAGACTGTGGGTCAAAGGAATCTAAAGTTATTGGGCAGACAAACTTTTTGAAGTCAAAGTCCCTGTGACCTTTGACCTGGTGACCTCAAAATCAATAGGGGTCATCTACTAATCATGACTTACCTCCATTCCAAATATGAAGACTGTGGGTCAAAGGAATCTTAAGTTATTGGGCGGACAAGCTTTTTGAAGTCAAGGCCCCTGTGACGTTGACCTTTGACCTGGTGACCTCAAAATCAATAGGGGTCATCTACTAATCATGACTTACCTCCATGCCAAATATGAAGACTGTGGGTCAAAGGAACCTTAAGTAATAGGGCGGAAAAGCTTTTTGAAGTCAAAGTCCCTGTGACCTTGACCTTTGACCTGGTGACCTCAAAGTCAATAGGGGTCATCTTCTAATCATGACTAACCTCCATGCCAAATACGAAGACTGTGGGTCAAAGGAATCTTAAGTTATTGGGCAGCCAAGCTTTTTTAAGTCAAGGCCCCTGTGACCTTGACCTTTGACCTAGTGGACTCAAAATCAATAGGGGTCATCTACTAATCATGACTAACCTCCATGCCAAATATGAAGACTAAGGGTCAAAGGAATCTTAAGTTATTGGGCGGACAAGAAAAAACCGACGGACGGACAAGCTGATTCCAGTATACCCCCCTTACAACTTTGTTGTGCGGGGATATAATTATACCAGACCCGATCAAACCAACATTACTTCCACGAGATGTGTTTTCTGAAGTCAGTTGTGACTTTTGTGGACCATTTCCAGACGGTTACATGTTATTAGTTGTTATATGTGACTACAGTAGATTTTCAGTAGTTGAAAGAATCAAATCGACAGCCGCAGATACAGTCATACCGCGATTAGAGGCGATCTTTTCGATATTCGGATATCCAGATGTAGTGAAAACGGACAATGGACCTCCGTTTCAAAGTCGAGCATTCAGAGAATTAGCTGATAATTCGGGATTTAAACATAAAGGAATTACTCCATTGCACCCACAGGCAAATGGAATAGTTGAGAGATTTATGGCGCCACTGCAAAAAGCAATCAAAACAGCGATAGCGTCCAGACAAGATTATAAAAGAGCGTTAAGTAGATATCATATGAATTTTCGGAACACACCACAAACAAATACACAAACAGCTCCTAGTGAATTAATGTTCAATCGTAAACTAAAGACAAAATTACCAAAGATGACATTTGACAACAAAGATACAGATATTCGAGACAGGGACAGTCTATCAAAAACGAAAAACAAAATATATGCTGATAAGAAACGTAGAGCTCAGCGAAATAATTTGAAACTGGGAGATCGTGTGCTATTAAAACGGGAACAGCGGAATAAGTTTGAAACAGCGTTTGACCCTACCCCCGGGATAATCATCGCTATGAAAGGATCTATGCTTACAATCAAACATAAAGGTAAAGAAATCACACGGGACGTTTCCAAGTTAAGATATGTTCATGGAGATCAAGAGCCGGTGCAGACGAAACCTGCAGATAATACATCTTTACCTAGAAATAGGCCACAGAGGAAACGCCGACCGCCGAGACGTTATGACGATTAAGAAAAAAAAAAGAAAATGGTTAAATCTATGATACCATTTCTCGTTACAGCTATAAGGGTTAATGACTCAAATGTGTGGGCCATAACAATGCCCTAATTGTATTTGCTATCATAGCAGTGTATCATTTATATCCGCTTGTTGGATTTATTAATCTTAGAGAAAATGATAGCGTATGTGAGAACATTCTATTATTCCTGAAATTAATTCATTTGGTTTTTATTAAATGACCTTATAATTGGTTCTTGTGTGGTAGAACGGAAAAACAAATCATTCTTTTGATAACAATGCTAGTTGTTGGAACAAATGTTGTGATAATAATGTAATTTGTTTGATATTTTGTGACATTACGAAAAATAGAAAAAGACATGACAATTAACAATAAAATTATATTTATCAATACTTCGTTGAAGCAGATGCCCAGTAAACTGATAAGAGTATATCGCATTGGTTAATAAACTCTGCTGAAAAGGGAGATTGATGTTTTAAGTTTATTGATTTTATTGATGAGTTCTTAACTAAAGATAGAGGAGGATGTAGTAAGCAAGTCTACAAGATAGATAAAGCCACGCCTTTAATATCAAATATCGTTATTGTTACTGAATATATTTTTACTTGATGTTTGGGAGTTTATGAGTGTATACTTGGATTAAAATATATAAACCATCCTTCGGGTCTTGTTTAGTTTGTGTGCTAGTAAGCCATCCAAATAGAAAATATAAATGTTACAATGACCACCACAACGGCATTGCGTTATCTTCAGTTACATTTCTCGTCATGCTAGAAGCAGTGACGTCATGCAAACATACTTCTCCAAATAGAGCTTATGGTTGTACCGCATGGGAGATAATGGGGTATCCTGGGAAATCTCTTTTCGATGTCCAATGTAACATGCATGTCGTGTGTTACGCATGTGTTAGTACATTTAAACATATTAATATTTTCTATTTTGATATCTACTCAGCCTTATTCAGCAATAAGGAAAAATGTTTCAGAGTTTAAAATGTTCAGTGCCTTCAAAAGTAACTTAATAATTCACAACATTTCAGCTATATATATGAACTATTTTATACACAAAACTGTGGGTCGTTAGAATGACGACCAGTATTCGTACATTGTATTATGTTCAATATTAATTTTCCTGACGTAAGTAATTTTCATTTACATACCCAAATGTACTTCCCCTTACTCGTAAATGGTAACTTTTAATACGTAGTAAACCTTTTCCAATTTTACAATCAAATACATATATATTCACTTCTTAATTTGTTATGTTATGTTATGTTATGTTGTGTTTATATTGAAACAGGTAGTTATAGTTATGCAGTAAGAAAACATTTCTGTCAATTTAAGGGCTTTGCAAAAGGGTATTTAAGAGATGGTTGTGATAACGCATTTACTAGTAAAATGTATAATCGCTGTGAATCTTTCAATAAGGAGCAGGAACTGACGTCATGCTTTGACTATGTGAGAAGAGTGGATATTTGTGTACTTGAATTTGGGAATTATGATTATGTAACTATACAGCACCCAAATGGTGCAACGAGACTTGGGATTGATAAATGTCTCTCTGAGGAGAAAATATATCTGTTACTCTGTTACATATAAACATTGATGACAGAATGCGACAAGCACAATACTACAAGCTATTCTTACAGATTGTTGCAGGATTTTTTGTTTAAAATTATTTTATTTTTACATATACAGTGAAAGTTGAGAAAACCGGACGGCTCTCGGACCGAGGGTTTTGTCCGGTTTTCTCAGCGGTCCGGTATTCTCAATGTCCCCTTCAGCTGTTCAGGATCATATAAACCGAGCAATGACTTTTTTAGTTTGTGTGCTAGTAAGCCATCCAAATAGAAAATATAAATGTTACAATGACCACCACAACGGCATTGCGTTATCTTCAGTTACATTTCTCGTCATGCTAGAAGCAGTGACGTCATGCAAACATACTTCTCCAAATAGAGCTTATGGTTGTACCGCATGGGAGATAATGGGGTATCCTGGGAAATCTCTTTTCGATGTCCAATGTAACATGCATGTCGTGTGTTACGCATGTGTTAGTACATTTAAACATATTAATATTTTCTATTTTGATATCTACTCAGCCTTATTCAGCAATAAGGAAAAATGTTTCAGAGTTTAAAATGTTCAGTGCCTTCAAAAGTAACTTAATAATTCACAACATTTCAGCTATATATATGAACTATTTTATACACAAAAACTGTGGGTCGTTAGAATGACGACCAGTATTCGTACATTGTATTATGTTCAATATTAATTTTCCTGACGTAAGTAATTTTCATTTACATACCCAAATGTACTTCCCTTACTCGTAAATGGTAACTTTTAATACGTAGTAAACCTTTTCCAATTTTACAATCAAATACATATATATTCACTTCTTAATTTGTTATGTTATGTTATGTTATGTTGTGTTTATATTTGAAACAGGTAGTTATAGTTATGCAGTAAGAAAACATTTCTGTCAATTTAAGGGCTTTGCAAAAGGGTATTTAAAGAGATGGTTGTGATAACGCATTTACTAGTAAAATGTATAATCGCTGTGAATCTTTCAATAAGGAGCAGGAACTGACGTCATGCTTTGACTATGTGAGAAGAGTGGATATTTGTGTACTTGAATTTGGGAATTATGATTATGTAACTATACAGCACCCAAATGGTGCAACGAGACTTGGGATTGATAAATGTCTCTCTGAGGAGAAAATATATCTGTTACTCTGTTACATATAAACATTGATGACAGAATGCGACAAGCACAATACTACAAGCTATTCTTACAGATTGTTGCAGGATTTTTTGTTTAAAATTATTTTATTTTTACATATATTTGAATAGAAAATGTTTTTTTTAATTTGTATTTAGATTATGTTTAAATGAACAAATACATTGCGGTTATGTTTCAAATATACCTATGCTTATGTTAGATAATAACTTTAATATCTGAAATTTATGTTTTCAGTACAATAAAAATGCATACAAGCATGCAATACAAATAACTTTAAATGTATTCAATCTATGTACAAGGTCGCCACGCCACCCACAATTAACCGATAGCCGACCATAATAATCACTTTTGCCTTTTGTACTATTTGCACCACCGAAAAACAGATCAATTTTTAATTATGGTTTTATCATGTTTTAATACAATTATTTCCGAAAGATTATTTATTGACACACGCAAAGTCCCGGTCATAAACCAGAAAATATTATTTGCCTCTGCAGTTGACCAAGAAATCTACTTTATAAACTATATACTACTGGTTCTACTCAGGTGCATGTTCGTGCCTGCAATAATACACGGAAGGGCACCTGAGGCTTTCCTCCACCTATAAACCCGGAAAGTCACCCTATGACATGTGCGCAAAAAATCAAAACATCTTTTACACTGTGGATGATCACTTTCCAAAAATCATGCAAAATGCTCAATTAATTGCTATCTGATCCACGGGTGTGGAACCCATAAGGATCTCAAAATTAAGCATTGGTAAAAATATACATGTATTCGAATTTCCGCGATCCAGAAGAGCTCTATAAATCCAAATGTGAAAGAGAAAATAGGTCAATCAATGGGTAAGATGTCAACTTTTTAAACATTTATATAAAATTCGAATTACAAGAAAATCGGAACGTAATTCTACCCTCCTAACTTTCTTCTGTGTCTACCTATATTTGGTTTGGATTTTTTTACGCAGTCTTCATCGAGATATTCTTTCCGTATATAGTCACAGGGCGTGACTAGTAATCAGTTTCTATCGAGTATCTCACAGAGAACAGTCATTATCTTTTACAAAGTCAAATGTTTACCATGTCGAGGGAAATGAGTGAAAGTTTTGTGGAGGAGAAGGTCACAGATTTGTTGGCTCAGCATAAGCAGCAAATGCTGAAGGAGATGGAGGGCATGTTTCTTAAAATAACAGCGACTTCTCAGAGCAAGCTTTCCAGTCAAATTGCCTCTTCTTCGCTGAAAACAGTCAAGTTTCGACGTAAAGGCAACGAAGAGCAATTCAAGGTCAATGCAGACGTTTTGAGCAAGCTTGAGGACGCTGAAGGCTCGCTGTCAGTTGAAAACATGGAAGAAACTAGGCAGAGTATTATTAGCGGTACGTTATGCTATTGTTCAATTTATCAGCTGTTTTTTCTATTTTTATCACAAAATTGTAGACGTCCAGCCTATAGTTTATTTCATGTTACGCACGTGGAATGTGTGATATTTTATAACGGTCAACTGTCTGTGTACTGCCCGGTTTGTTATGACTGTGCTGATTTTGTTAGCTGCACGTTGAAAGTAATGTTGTAAATATCCAGTTTTATGTTTTTTAAAACGTACAAAGGAGTGATATCATATGGAATTACATGTATATTGATATATTATAGTATACGGGTGATAAGTATCGAGTTAATAAGTAAAATAATTTGATGTATAAGGCAGAAGCCCGTGCTAACAGGAAGGCGAGAGCAGCAAGGGCCAAGAAAGTCAGGGGATCTAGGTTCAATCCTTATCGTGAGAGGGCATCGTCACCACAGGACCGAAGAATTGGCGGTTTCTATCCTGTTCAATCAACAGGCACAAGACGTATTTCTCCAGGACTTTGTTTTGCCTGTGGAAAAGCAGGACACTGGAAGGGTGCACCAGAATGCGCAGCAAATATATCAAATAATAAGATAAGTACCTATTATGTTAATAGTGCTATAAGTTATGTTAGTTCTGCAGACACGGAGTGTGGTACAGGTGAGTCAATCCTGAATATGAATATAAAATTTAAGAATACTTTGAAAGCTGAAGGGCTTGTTAAGTCTGACATGGATGAGGTCTGTAAAATAAGTGAAAAGGCACCGGAAGTGCATGTCGAGCTGTACTCTGATGACGTCATCCTTATCCGAATGTAAGTAATATGCAGGAAATGTCTGTTCAGGCTCCGGAGGAAAGAGTTTCACCTGTCGGTAGGTTGAAAAGTTGTTATAACAAGTGGGAATCT